ACTGGTGCACTCAAACCGGTTCACATCTATGCGGCCATTTGAATGGACTCCCGTGCCCGTAACACGCAGGGAAGAAGCCGCACCACCCGCACAGAGAAATACGGACCTAATATAGTTCTAATGGCACGCTGCCTGCACTGGGAAAACGCAACTTACTAAGAACCGAGGTTCCCCTGCGGGCTTCGTTTTCCAAAGAAGTGCGGGGACTTCTCTGCGTGTCACGGGCACGGGAGTCCATTCAAATGAATGCGCTCTCGTGCCCGAGCAAAACTCTGGCTGCATAGGTCTGACACGGGGTAAATATCCCCCTGTGCTGCAATAATCAGTTGCAGAAGCATACTTTCTACTTTGTTAATTTTTCATATCTTTTAATCATTTTAAGTCCGATATCTTGTTTCCTTTTTCAAGGATTTCTCAAGCCCTGATGAATGGGGGGTAACTTTAAGCCTCCAAAATGTGTCTGCAAACATTTCATTAGAAAGTAGATATATATTTGCAGTCTAAACCAATAATATGGCACTTTGTTTCCTCTGTGGACCCTGCAGGAAGGTAAAAAATGTGAGATGGTGTAGCGCTATATAAAATAACAGAAGCTGTGACAAATTGTGCTAAAAAACCACACAGGGTCCTCGTAAAGGACCAATTGAGTGACCTAAACAATTGATAAAGTGAACCCAATCCCTGTAGGGATACAACCAATGTGACCCCTGGTACCCAATACTGGGACACAAATTGTCAGGGATCCGGGTGTGACCAAAAATGTGTGGACTGACACAGGGAAGTAGCAGGCTTCAGGAACACAGGCATAGTCAGGGCTGGAGAGGTGAAATGGTCAGGCGGGCCGTAAGGTACTGTCAGGCACTGCCCCGCGGGATTCTCTGTGACCCACAGAAACAGGATTTCCCAGGGGCGGAGTCTAAGCCCCAGTCTGCCTTTTCACCAGAGCCCCTGATGGTGGGGATGGACTTGGCGCAGGACTGAGACCAGGTCGCGGCCCCTGAGTGCACCCAACTGTTGTAGAGGGGTCCGCCGAGGGTATGTACCGGGGGAAAAGCCTGATGTGAAGGGACTGGCAGGTTTGGACAGTAGTGACTGGATCCGTGCAGGATGGATGTTATCGTCTGGGTAGCGTCAGGCAGGCCAGGTCAGCAACGTGCGGGCAGTGAGGTACCGGAGGAGCAGGCAGAGAATAGTCAGGGTCACAAGCCGGGTTCAGTAACTCACGGGCAGCGCGGTACAGAGGATCAGGCAGAAGGATGGTCAGGCAAGCCAGGGGTTCAACAGGAGACGGTCAGCAGAGGTCAGGATCAAAGCTAGGGTCAGCAACTAGGCAGGAACACAGGGATACCAGGTACAGGGGCTCATGGGAAACATACACCAAGGCACTGACTGCAGGTCTCGCCATCCTAAAATACACCTCCTGCAATCAGCCCCGTGGTTGGCTGATTGCAAGAGTGAGCTTCTGGCTGCTGAGAGCACCCGCTGGTCAGCCCTAGGTACTGCAGCCCACACGGCAGGTGAGTCCCACCAGTGCTGAGTCCATTCCTGACACAAATCTATATAAATATAAATGTGGATCCCTGCAGAGGGATAAAATACACCTCTGTGCTCAAAAAAACAACAACACTGATAATATATAACACAAATCACAATCGTGCAAACAGTCCAATTTCTGTGAGAATGAACGGACACAGCGCTTCACTCCTTTTGGTCATGCATCGCATTCAATGCGTGGGTGTCCAACACACTGATATGTGACCACAAAATGGCTGCAGTGGCCTCTCACCTCCCCTCGGCGACCCCTCAGGGCACAAAGCCTTTCGGATCACCTCAGGATCCTCCCTGTATAAGCACTCCTTTCAGCCTGGTGTCCTGGGCACTAAGACCCCACTGGTATCCTGTATCACCACTGTAGTTATTTCCTCTGACAGGTAAGTGGATAGGCAGGTAGGCACTCTCCATACAATAATGATAATCTCTCAATAGCCCATAGAACAAGAGAAAGACACATTCTCCAAAGTGTAAAACCGTTTTTTAATCCCAAGATTAGATAAGGCAAAATATACTCTCACATTTGGTAGAACATAACAAGCTTTTCCCCATGTGCTGGGTGTATTGCATGAAAAGGTGTACCAAAATGGCGCCACGCTAGAAGTACGTCACCACACTTTGCCGTCGACTCGTTGCGTCACGCTTCCACGTGACTTCATCAGGACTGATGGTACCATATATAGTGAATGCAGGGTCCAGGGAGACCAGATATAGTGAATGCAGGGTCCAGGGAGACAGGGTCAGGGATATAGTGAATGCAGGGTCCGGGGAGACCGATATAGTGAATGCAGGGTCCGGGGAGAGCGGATATAGTGAATGCGGGGTCCGGGGAGAGCGGATATAGTGAATGCGGGGTCCGGGGAGAGCGGATATAGTAAATGCGGGGTCCGGGGAGAGAGCGGGGTCCGGGGATATAGTGAATGCGGGGTCCGGGGAGAGCGGATATAGTGAATGCGGGGTCCGGGGAGAGCGGATATAGTGAATGCGGGGTCCGGGGAGAGCGGATATAGTGAATGCGGGGTCCGGGGAGAGCGGATATAGTGAATGCGGGGTCCGGGGAGAGCGGGTATAGTGAATGCGGGGTCCGGGGAGAGCGGGTATAGTGAATGCGGGGTCCGGGGAGAGCGGATATAGTGAATGCGGGGTCCGGGGAGAGCGGGTATAGTGAATGCGCGGGTCCGGGGAGAGCGGGTATAGTGAATGCGGGGTCCGGGGAGACCCGGGTATAGTGAATGCGGGGTCCGGGGAGACCGGATATAGTGAATGCAGGGTCCGGGGAGACCGGATATAGTGAATGCAGGGTCCGGGGAGACCGGATATAGTGAATGCAGGGTCCGGGGAGACCGGATATAGTGAATGCAGGGTCCGGGGAGACCGGATATAGTGAATGCAGGGTCCGGGGAGACCGGATATAGTGAATGAATTATAGTGAATGGGGTCCGGGGAGACCGGATATAGTGAATGCGGGGTCCGGGGAGACCGGATATAGTGAATGCGGGGTCCGGAGAGAGCAGATATAGTGAATGCAGGGGTCCGGAGAGACCAGATATAGTGAATGCAGGGTCCGGAGAGACCGGATATAGTGAATGCAGGGTCCGGAGAGACCGGATATAGTGAATGCAGGGTCCGGAGAGACCGGATATAGTGAATGCAGGGTCCGGAGAGAGTAGATATAGTGAATGCGGGTCCGGGGAAAGAGAGCAGATATAGTGAATGCGGGGTCCGGGGTTTAGTAACACTTTGCGCTTACAATAAAGCTTACCTATAGGTTGAATGAATATCTCTCATACATGCACGGTTTAGGAGATATTCGCTTGTTTGGCAGCCGAAAATGTCACCCGGAGCATGCGTCCTGAAGGAACGGCATACCCGTGTCGTTTCTTCAGGCTGTGACTCCCACTCACGTGCGCAAGAGTGACATCAGCGCGGCTCGGCCATTCAAGCAGCTCGCGAACCCGGAAGGAAGATCGGGTGAAGATGGAAGCCTCTGCCGTGGTGACAGCATGCTACTGGAAGGCTCATTTCAAGGTACGTCTGTGCGGTGCGTATAGCACATTATGCCTTTACCTTGCAGGGAGCATTTTTTTTTTGACCGTTTACTAACGCTTCAACAGTCTCATCTATCTCTCAGGGACTTCATCGGGGGGTTTGTGTGGGTCTGCACACCTACTATGGTTACTGTGAATTGTTCCCACTCTCATATTATTGTTTTTCTGGAGACACAACAGCTGGATATTTGTGGTTCTGGAATCAGCCTCTGCAGGTCTGCTATTCTGGACACCCCGTTTCTGGGGACACAACCTATCTAGAGACACAGCTGATGTATATCTCTGTATACTCTTGATGAGGAATAGAGTCCTTGAGAACATGACATCACCAGGCAAAATATATATACGTGTCTGAAACAGGAAACCGATATGTAGAAACCACCACTTCCTTATTAGCGCCAAAGAATCAACGTATACCAGAAAAACAAAAAACTGCGAGCTGTGAGATTGTACCGGCGGGCTCGGAGGATTTGGAGGGAATTACAGGCTGTAGCGGAGGATCTGATAAGTGTGGAGAGACTGCGGAGACCATGGACAGACGACGGCAGCTTCAGGTGAGACCAGCACACTGTTATAGCCGCACATTTCAAGTGCGCTGATCCAGGGCAACCAATCAGAAAATGTCACTCGCATACGTAACTGCCGAAAAATTGCCACCTGTGCCAGGCCTGTCTGTCGTTCTATATACAGTATATTTGATCTTTCTGTCATACATTGGAAGAAAAAAAATGCAACTGCTCCAGACAGTATAACGGAGTTAGATAAATAGGACGGGAGCTGGAGAGACATAATCTCACCTGTCCTTGTATATTGGTTTTATAAGTGCCACACCCCTATTTAATCAGAAAGATATAAAAACCCTTACCCCTGGTACACACCTATGCGGCCATGCGGGCCGCGTTTTGTTCGGGCACGAGAGCCCATTCATTTAAATGAACTCCCGTGCCCCGTGACACCGAGGGAAAGAAGTCCCTGCACTACTGTGGAAAACGCAGCCCACACGGGAACCTCGGTTCCCAGTACGGTTGCGTTTCCTAGTGTGGGCAGCGTGCCATTAGAACTAACGGCACCAGCCTGCGGGTTCGCAGTTTTCTGTGCGTGTAGTGCGGCTGCACGGATTTTCGTGCAGATCCGCAGCAGCACCACCCGCACAGATGTGAACCGGGGGAAACAGAGAAAAAACTAATGGGGCTTTTAACCGCCTTCCGCCCGCCATATAGTAATATGACGGACAGAAGGCGGTTCTCTCGTTCTGGGAGGACGTCATATGACGTCCTCCCATTCTCACCGTGCATGCGCGGATCCTGGAGCGCGCAGCACGGTGATTGGTGGTGCGCTGTGTCCCTCAAGCACACAGCAGGTCACCGATCCACAGAAAGAGCCGAAGATGTCCGCTCGGTCATGTGATCAGCTGTGTCCAATCACAGCCGATCACATGTAAACAGGGAAATGCCGGTTATCGGCATTTCTCGTCTCTCCCCACAAGCTGTCACGCTGACAGAGGAGAGGAGAGCCGGTAATCGGCATTCCTCGGAGGGGACATCCACACTGATCATCAGTGTGCCCTGATGATCTGTGTAGCCCCAGCAGTGCAATCTGTCAGTGTCCATCAGTGCCAGCTCTCAGTGTTCATCCATGCCACCTGGCAGTGCCACTTTTCAGTGCCCATCTGAGCTGCCTTTCAGTGTCACTCATCATTGCCAGTCAGTGCCACCTATCAATGCAAGTCAGTGCCGCCTATCAGTGCTGCCAATCAGTACCAGTCAGTGCCACCTATCAGTGTGCATCAGTGCCACCTAACAGTGCCAGTCAGTGTTGCCCATCAGTGTGAATCAGTGCCACCTAACAGTGCCAGTCAGTGCTGCCTATCAGTGCCTTATAGGAGCGCTGCCTTAAAGTGCCTATCAGTGATACCTGTCAATGCCCATCAGTGCCACCTACCAGTGCCACCTGTTAGTGTCCATCAGTGCAGCCTTATTAGCGCACATCAGTGAAGGAGAAAAATCACTTATTTACAAAATTTTATAACAAAAACTAAGAAAAAACTTTTTTTCAAAATTTTCAGTGGTTTTTGGTTTGTTTAAGAAAAAATAAAAAACCCAGAGGTGATTAAATACCACCAAAAGAAAGCTCTGTCACAAAAAAATGATAAAAATTTCATATGGGTACAGTGTTGCATGATCGCGCAATTGTCATTAAAAGTGTTAGAGCACAGAAAGCTGGAAATTGGCCTGGGCAGGAAGGGGGTATAAGTGCCCTGTAGGGGAGTGGTTAAAGCACCATACCATATGAAAGTATAAAGATGCACGACATGAACACACTAGATAAATAGAACATGTTTTATTGTAATTTATAAAAAAAAACAAAAAAAAATACATAAGTGGTAAGAGAGACCAATGGGTATAGCGGAGGAAATTCAAATGCATAAACTGGGCCGTCCTTTAATTGGCTTGCAATGGGAATTAAAATAAAACAAAAAAAATGTGGACTTTAACCACTTACCCTCCAGAGGATTCCCCCGCCCCTTCCTGACCAGGCCATTCTTTCGCGATATGGCGCTGCGTTATTTTAACTGAGAATTGCGCGGTCATGCAATGCTGCACCCAAATGAAATTTATGTTCTTTTTTTCCCCACAAATAGAGCTTTCGTTTTGTGGTATTTGATCGCTTTTGCATTTTTATGCTATAAACAAAAAAAGACTGACAAGTTTGAAAAAAATAAACTATATTTTTGACTTGTTGCTATAAAACATATCCAGTAAAAAAATGTAAATCAAATTTCATCATAAATTTAGGCCAAAATGTATTCTGCGACATATCTTTGCTACAAAAAAAATCCAAATACGTGTAAATTAATTGGTTTACGTGAAAGTTACAGTGCTCACAAATGGCGGTATAGATACTGGAATGTTTCTTTTTAATACTAGTAATGGCGGCGATCAGCGACTTATAGCAGGACTACGGCGGGCATTCTGACACGGGGGGGGGGGGGGAACTGACTAACTGCCACTGACATCCCGATGACACTAATACAGTGATCATGTGCTAATAAAAAGCACTGGTCAGGAAGGGGTTAATATCTGGGGAGATCAAAGGGTTAACTGTGTGCTGTATGTGTTTTACTAGAGAAACATGCTGCTTTGTATTTCTCTGCTGTGTATGTTACTGATGGCAGGAGAGAGACCCGTGTTTACACACAGATCCCTACCCTGTCACTGTTTCTTGGTGAGTACTGCGTGCCGACGGGGAAACTCCAGACGGGACCTATATATATATATATATATATATAATGTGTGTGTCTACATACAGTTGTGCTCAAAAGTTTGCATACCTAATGGTAACAGAAATCACCCAAATGGACCGAAAGAAAAAAAGTTTCCCTCCCCTGGAATGTTTGGCCTTGGTACAGACACACAAGGTGACACACACGGGTTACAATGCCAATTAGAGGTTAATGTCCCACATCTGTGGCTTTTTTAAATTGCAATTAGTGTCAGTGTATAAATAGTCAATGAGTTTGTTAGCTCTTACGTGGAAGCACTGACTAGGCTACATACTGAGCCATGGAGATCAGAAAAGAACTGTCAAAAGTCCTGCGTAACAAGGTAATAAAACTTTATAAAGATGGAAAAGGACATAAAAAGATGTCCAAAGCCTTGAATATGCCAATCAGTACTGTTAAATCACCTATTAAGAAGTGGAAAGTTCGGGGATCTCTTGATACCAAGCCAAGGTCAGGTAGACCAAGAAAGATTGCAGCCATAACTGACAGAAGAATTGTCTGGGATACAAAGAAAAATCCACAGGCAACCTGAAAAGAAATACAAGCTGCTCTGGAACAAGACGGTGTGGTTGTTTTTAAGGAGTATAATACGGTGATACTTGAACAAAAATGAGCTGTTTGGTCGAGGTGCCAGAAAGAAGCCTTTACTGCATCAATGACACAAAAAAGCCCGGTTACAATATGCCTGACAACACCTTGACATGCCTAACCGGCCTTCTTGTGTCACTGATGCAGTAAAGGCTTCTTTCTGGCACCTCCACCATGCAGCTCATGTTTCTTCAAGTGTCATCATATTGTGCTCCTTCACAACAACCACACTGCCTTTTTCCAGAGCAGCCTGTACTTTTCTTGTGGTTACCTATGGGTTTCCCTTTGTATCCCGAGCAATTCTTCTGGCAGTTGTGGCTGCAATCTTTCTTGGTCTACCTGACCTTGGCTTGGTATCAAGAGATCCCTGAACTTTCCACTTCTTAATAGTAGATTTAACAGGACTGATTGGCATATTCAAGGCTTTGGACATCTTTTTATGTCCTTTTTCCATCTTTATAAAGTTCCATTACCTTGTTATGCAGGACTTTTGAAAGTTCTTTTCTGATCTCCATGGCTCAGTATCTAGCCTAGTTAGTGCTTCCACGTAGAGCTAACAAACTCATTGACTATTTATACACTGACACTAACTGCAATTTAAAAAGTCACAGATGTGGGACATTAACCTCTAATTGGCATTTAACCCGTGTGTGTCACCTTGTGTGTCTGTACCAAGGCCAAACATTCCAGGGGGCGGAGACTTCTGATCCGGGCCATTTGGGGGATTTCTGTTATTATGATTTAAAAAGGAGCCAAACAACTATTTGATAATAAATGGCTTCATATGATCATCAGCCTTCAATAAAGGAGCATTTTGTGGCATGATCGGTCATATTTTCAATATCAATGCAAATATTTGACCATTTCTGCCAGGGGAGGCAAACTTTTAAGCACAACTGTATGTGATTTTGCACATCCCTGCCGCCGTCTAGCAGTACTACTGCCATAGGGTGGTCGGGAAGCGGTTAATGTACATACTTGCTTTTACAAGGCCAGTGCACTCAGCTTTCTATGGGGGCCCTCGCCAAAGAGGAGGAGCCAGGAGCACTGTGAGGTGACCCCAGAAGAGGAGGATCAGAGCTGCTCTGTGCAAAACCATTAGCAGACCAGGTAAGTATAGACATGTCTATTATTTTAATTAAAAAAAAAATAATAAAAGTTTTTATGTAACTTTAACCGCCTCCCGCCCGCCATATAAGGAAATGACGGGCGCAAGGCGGTTCTCTCATTCTGGGAGGACGTCATATAATGTCCTCCCACTGTAACCGCGTGTGCGCGGCTCAGGGAGCACGCAGTGCGGCGATTGGCGGTGTGCTGTGTCCCTTGGACACAGAGGATCACCGATTGACGGAAAGAGCCGAAGACTTCGGCTCGGACATATGATCAGCTGTGTCCAATCACAGCTGATCGCATGTAAATAAGGAAATGCCGGTTATCGGCATTTCTCTCCCCACGAGCTGTCACGCTGACAGAGGAGAGGAGAGCCGGTAATCGGCATTCCTCAGAGGGGACATGTATACTGATCATCAGAGCACTGATGATCAGTGTAGCCCCAGCAGTGCCACCTGTCAGTGCCTACCAGTGCACATCAATGCCACATATCAGTGCCCATGTGAGTTGCCTTTCAGTGCTACCTATCAGTGCCACCCAGTGCCGCCTATCAGTGCCATATATGAGTGCTGCCTTTCAGTGCCCGTCAGTGATGCCTGTCAATGCCCAACGGTGCCACCTACTAGTGCCTCCTATCAGTGCAGCCTATCAGTGCCCACCACTGCAGCCTCATTAACCCACATCAGTGAAGGAGAAAAATCACTTGTTTACAAAATTTTATAACAAAAACTAAGAACAAAATTTTTTTTTCTCAAAATTGTCAGTTTTTGGTTTGTTTAGCAAAAAATAAAAAAAAACCCCAGAGGTGATTAAATAGCACCAAAAGAAAGCTCTATCTGTCTGAAAAAAATTATAAAAATTTCATATGGGTACAGTGTTGCATGACCGCGCAATTGTCATTAAAAGTGCGACAGCGCTGAAAGCTGAAAATTGGTCTGGGCAGGAAGGGGGTATAAGTGCCCTGTAGGCGAGGGGTTAAGCAAAACTGTGACTGGTCCTTTTTCAACCAGGATTCAGCCCAAAGGCTGCCAGTAAGATATAGACTGTAAATTCCCAGTGCCTGACTGATAGAGGGAACAGCTTAGAACAGTTACAGCATTAGACAAGCCAAAAACAGGCAGGCGGTGACAGCTGTCTCACACAGTCTCAGCGCTGACATGTATGAACGACTTCCTGTATTCAGTTCCTGCAGGCTGCTGGGGAGGGGTGATCAGAGCCGCACAGTGCAGATGTCAGTGCATGCTGCTGGAACACAGCCACAGCAGTATTTATAATACTTATCAATGTCTTGTATGTCATTAACCCCTCGTTCACATCTATGTAGCTGTGCGGGCCGCATTTTGGACGAGCACAAGAGCCCATTCATTTGAATGGACTCCCGTGCCCATGACACGCAGCGAAGAAGTCCCTGCACTTCTTTGGAAAACGCAGCAGAGGTTCCCGTACGGTTGTGTTTTTCTAGTGCGGGCGGCGTACCATTAGAACTACGGATCCACAATTCTCTGTGCGGGTGGTGCAGCTGCACAGATTTTCGTGCGGATTCTCAACGGCACTACCCGCACAGATGTGAACAGGGGGTAAGGGAGTGTTGATCGGTCATAATTTGCATTTCTTTTTTTATGCATAATTATGTGAGGGTATCATAGAGTGAAATGCATCAACTGGGAACTGACGTTCCTTCTCTCCTGGGCTGCGGTTGGTTTTGAGACCATAAGTTCATATTCACTGCCCCGCTTCCCTTCAGACTTCATCTGTCAAATTTGGTTTTGAAAAATGGTGCTAAAAGTACTCCGCTGTCTTTTTTTTTCCCCTTATGTATTTTTTTTTTTTTTGCTGCTTGTTGCATTGTAGAACGATTTTCATTGGCCCCAATGGGAAATGTTCAAATGTA